CCTTTTTTCCATTTTTCCTTTTTCCCTTTTTCCCTTTATTCTTTTCCCCCTTTCTCCCATTTGCCCCTTTCTTCCCTTTCCCCTTTTTCCCCCTTTTCCATTTTCCCCCTTTTTCCCCTCTCCCCCTTTTCCCCCTTTTTCCCCTTTTCCCCTTTTCCCCTTTTTTAAAAACCTTAAATTTTAAATTTTTAATTTTAAAATTTTTAAGATCTTTTTCCCTCTCAAGTTTTTCCATTTGGCTTTTGAGAAATTTGGCCAAGTGAAGGGACATTTCCCTTTTTTCCCTTTTCCCTTTTTCCCCTTTTCCCTTTTTCCCCTTTTCCCTTTTTTCCCCCTATTTTAAAAAAACCTTAAATTTTAAATTTTTAATGTTTTTCCATTTTTTTTCCCTCTCAGGTTTTTCCACCTGGCTTTTGAGGAGGAGTTTGGCCGGGTCAAGGGACATTTCGGGCCCATCAACAGCGTCGCCTTCCACCCCGACGGGAAGAGGTCAGGGGGGAACTGTGGGGTCCCTGCCCCAATCCCATTGCACCCCATCCCCTTTTTAATGGGATCTGAACAAATTTATGGGATTTCTCTGCTGGGAATGGAACCGGGACCCAAATTCCACCATTTATGGGATTTCTGTGCCGGGAACAGAACCAGGATCTGAATTCTCCCATTTTTGGGATTTGGAACAGAACCAGCACCCAAATTCCCTCATTTATGGGATTTCTGTTCTGGGATCAGAACCCAAATTCTCCCATTTATGGGATTTCTGTGCCGGGATCAGAACCTGGATCCCTCATTTATGGGATTTGGAGCAGAACCTGCACCCGAATCCCCCTATATGGGATTTCTGTGCTGGAATCAGCTCCCAAATCCCTTTTTTGGGATTCCTGTTCTGGGCTCAGCTCCCAAATCCCTTTTTTGGGATTCCTGTTCTGGGATCAGCTCCCAACTCCCCTTTTTTGGGATTCCTTTTCTGGGATCAGCTCCCAACTCCCCTTTTTGGGATTTCTGTTCTGGGATCAGCTCCCAACTCCCCTTTTTGGGATTTCTGTTCTGGGATCAGCTCCCAAATCCCATTTTTGGGATTCCTGTGCTGGGATCAGCTCCCAAATCCCCTTTTTTGGGATTCCTGTTCTGGGATCAGATCCTGAATCCCCCTTTATGGGATTTCTGTGC